GAAACACCACCACACCAATGACTTTCTCACAAAGCAAGTGGTTTAAGACTCTGTCAGCAACATTATAGCTGGCATATGAAGCCTTGAAGGCTTGCAACTTTGTCCTTTATAATCTTTGTATTGAGATAAAATCTTTTTATGATTGTGCACTTGTAGAGACTGAAATTCTATCCAAAAAAGTAGCATTCAAATATTTGTATGCATCCGTGATACAAGAGCAATTAAGAGTATGCTGTTATCAAACACAGTATGTATTAGGATAGATTAACTATCCCTTTACAACATGGCAGGAGCAAACTTCCTAGTCTCAACCTTTCACTTTCTTTCTTTTAATTATTTTATCAAGTAAAGTTAGTATTTATTTTTCCAATAGGCAGTCTTGTGACCCAGTTACACGTAATACACTGAAAATGTCTGTTAATTGATGACTACTGATTTTTTGAACTACTGCACATTCCGAGATGCTCCAGTTTACCTTCTGATTTTAGGATGAAGTCCAGGCAGTTGGTGAAAAAAAATTAATCACTAGCAATATCAGAAGAGGCACACTACAAGGGTACATAATAGACTAAGCAAAGACTAAAATAATGTAACGTTTTATGAAATTCCAGTAAGTACTACTTTTATCTAATATTTTTTAATTACCTATCCTACTTACCTTGAGGTCTCGATGAATTAACTTTTCAGAATGAATATATTTCACTCCTTTCAGTATTTGTAAAAATTTGTTTTGTGCCATCTTGTGATACTTTGGGTCTCGTCTATTCTTTTCAATCCAGTTATCCAATGGCCCTTGTTCACATAATTCCATTTGGATGAAAAGACAGGGAAATTTTTTTTCTGATTTCTGCCTGCAAAAGAAAATTATATACCATACTGAAATTGGCAAGATACAATTCCTCCCAAGCCATCAGTGATTCCTAGGTTCCTCTTCTTTAAAAAACCTTTTTGTTTATTATTATTTTTGGACTTCCCCACAACAAAGTCTGCAAGTCTGTTGATTTTCAAAAAGATCCTAGACCAATTGTACTAGATATAAATAAACAGAACTGCAAACCAAGGAATCCCTGCTCAGTTGCTAAATACACCTAGAATATTCCCAATGCTTTGCTTGCTTCCGTGTTCACACTGAAAGTTTTCTGAGTGCCCAAATTCTGCTCCCCTCACGTCTACAGGCATGTCCTATACAGGAAGAAATAGGACTTTTCTTGGCTCCCATCTTGCCCTCTAGAAACTGCTGCAAGTCCCTGGGAAGTACTCTGCATTCTGCTTAGCAAACACAGCATTAGCCTTCCTCACCTACCCAGAATGATCCCATGCTTTCAACCTCTGGTGCGGTGACCAACTTTGACATTAGTCTGTGAGTTAGAGTTCACTCAGTTCTGAGATCTGGAAATCTAGAGGAAATATATTCACCCATCTGACAGCCTCACACTTTCCAGAAGAGGTCCCTCACCACCAGCCATGGGATAGGCTAAGGCTGGAGATGGTCAGGGGAACGACACCATGAAGAGGAAGAAGCACCACTTTTTCCTCCTTGCACTGTGTGATCTGAGTGCCCTGAAATAAAGCCACCTGAGGCACTGAAAAAACAAGCATTAAGTGGCTTGGTGCTCTCTGTAGTCTTGAAGTCAGGGCATTAAGTGGAATCCCAGGCTGGGACCTCAGCTTTGAGGACTTTTTTTCTGTCTTTTACCCAATAACTGTTCAATATAACATGCGTAAGTGATATTGAGACTCCAACATATTAGTGGTTGGATTTTGACACAAGACTTTTTTTCTCCCATTTTATTCCTCATTTACTGAGCACACTGAGCAGATATCATGCCAACCATAATTTTGAATCCATTAATATTTCATGACTCGAGCTAAGTGTGTCAACTTATCTGAAGGGTATGACTTTACAGCTAGTGAAAAAAGCTTACCACAGAAGCTTTGAAAAATTAATAACCTAACTTAAGAGTAAAACTCTCACCACTGTCTTGCCAGAACTCTTAGAGTTGAAAGAGTACCTCTAAATGAAAGAGCATTTCATTTTGTATTTCTGATCTCAACAACCAAAACTGTTTCGGGCATCATGGTTAAAATGCTAACTTAGAGAAATAATTAAACCTATAAGAGCTACTTATTAAAAAAAGGAAACTTCTGATCAGGAATTTGGCAGCCAACTGCCAAATTTTTAGTTTCTCTTGTTAATTCTAGCCCCAAATTTTGAGTTCTGCATTTTTACACTCCTCTATAGATTCAGCAAGTTCTGTATATTAAGAAAGAGGAGAAAGATAAAATTACGTAATGTATCTTATTCATCAAGGAAAAGAAGATATAAATATACTTAATTATATACGACCTGCTGTTGAAAAGTACTGTGCCTTTTTTCCTAATGGTAAGTATGTAAGTATGTGTATGTATTTATATTTGTGTAATGATTTATAACCAATCATCAGCCTTTCTTTTTACAACACAACATTCACTACAGCAAACAAGTTTGTGAGTGCAAACTACTATCTTGTAGTTACCTTGACAATGGATCAGTTACATGGTCATACCCAGTCCAGCTACAAGAATACCGCACTATGTTTTCATGTTCAAGTCTTGCAAGTTCTTTTACTTCACGCTTTACGTTCCTATTTGAAGGGGAAAAAAAAAAACAAAACAAAACAAAAACAAATGGCATCTCCCTGTAAAAATTTAATACTAGGTTAAATAAAAGACATGACATCAAGTAGCAGTATACAGATAGTTTTACATTAATTTAGAAAAAGAACATATTATTCTCCTTCATACAATTTCAAAATTGTAGTTATAAATTCTGTGATTTTTCTTTCATCTACTCAGTTATTCAAAGTGCAAAGATGTTTTAAACATATTAGAAATGAAAGCCCCACTCAAAAAAAGAGGAAAAAAGCAGATAGTTGCAATGCATAATTACATTAGGTATCCAAACACAATGTAGCAAACACCCATGTTTTCGTCTCACTTGGTGAAGTTTGTTTACATACACAGAATTCAGTGCAAGTACTCAGGAAGAACTTTTATTAAATTTGGCCTGTGCTTCTTGTTGTAACATTGCCTAGTGAGGTATGTTCAAACCCATCAGTAGACCAGCAGTTTTTATTTGAAGAATCAGTAGAATGTTTTTAGTATAATTCTCAGGATTGCAATACAAATAAAAATAACATATATTTGTGAAGAACACAAGAATTCGAGGGGCAGTTACACAATACTAGGGACAAGTATCTCCATCAACTTGAAACTTTTCAAATAGATTACCTGAGAGAAACTAAAGATTTTCAGGTGCTGATAAAATACTCCTCTAGGTACTGGTTACAGAAAATTATTTAAAAAAAATAATTAAGATCATCATTCTCTGTTGAGATTTATAAGGGACAAATAACACAGGGTGAGAATAATGGGTGATATATAAAGCATTTTCCAATTACAAAACACCAAAAGTATAACTTTCATTTTTCTCTGTTTTCCCTGATTACAGTCGTTACGCATTTCTGATAAGTAAATTTTCCATGTGACCGGTCAAAAGTAACAGTGCTGCTTTCAATGTTCTATTAATCAGCAAGTTTTCTTCAAACACATTTCGCAATATTAATAAGCAGAGCACTAGTGTGTTCAGAGAAAGTAGAACTTAACAAATCTACTTTTTTACCATTGCATCTGAAATTATTCCAGTCCATGGAGAAATTAACAGTTGCATGCCATATGCAGCTTCACTTAGAAATTTACCAGAAAGAATGGACAATTAATAAAGCAAATTGCTTAAATGCTCCTAGGATTATTAAAGAGACAAAACAAAGCGCTAAAATCTTGATTAAGTTTGTTCTAAAATAAAATACAGAAGTAAATATACAGTACGTACTTTGTGAAACGAACTCGTTTGACTGCATAGGTTCTCTCATCAAGCTTTGCTGTTGCTTTGAAAACATTCCCATAACCACCTTCACCAATAGGCTCTATATTTTTAAAACTCTCAAGAAATCTTAAAAAAAAAAAAGAAGATGATACATAACAAGTATACTTAACATTAAATTTACAAGATATAAAAATGATCCTGACAGATCTAATACATCTGCTGAGATATTCTACATGGATCACGCAGCACCTACACAGGTCTAAATCATAGTCTTGAAGATTAAAAAAAACAACAGAAACTGACCGTTGAAAGTACATAGGGTAATTACATGCACATCTTCACACAAACGACTTTTGGTTATAAGTATTAAATACCATTGCATGGCAGTTGCTATAGTATATTTGAAATGTCCAGAAAAAAAAAAAAAAATCTCAAGTACCAATTTTCTTTGAAAGTTAGTTTTACAACAGTATTTTCCCACATTCTATTATAAATAAACAAACAAGAGAGAACACTACATACTGCAATTGCCATACAGATCTTATTTTAAAAAAACCACCTTCTTACCTTTTATTCACAGTGTATGGACTTTCATTCTCCTCACTGGTATTTGTGTCCAAATCTGGCAAACTTTCATCTGAATCTGACGTATTTTTTTCCTCTTCCTTTTTTCTTGCGTTATCAAAATTCGCTGCCAATTTTCTTTAATAAGGACAAAAGCAAAACTTACGAGCTGTTTTTCTAATATGCAACAAGAAATCTACCTCCCAATATTGGCATTTCTTTGCTAGATGCAGAAACACTAACGTGGTTTGCAATATAGTTTATGGGAGATAGCAACCTAGAAATTAACACATACCTTTTGTGTTTCAGGGCAGAACTTTCTGCATGTCTCTATATGAAAAAGAGAAAAAAACTTAACTGAGATATCCTGAATATTTTCACTTTGCTTAGTTTAAAATGTGTCTGTGAACGTATTTAGTAATTGTCTATAAATGTGTTCATACCTTACATAAACAATGTAGTAAGAATGAAGCTTAAAATTTTTCACATATGCTATGTATGACATCATCATCCTTCCCACAGAAAAATATAGCTTAGATTCATCCCCTTTCTTGGGAGTACTGTCCATTTGGTCCACAGTATATAAATTGGGTCCACAGTACAGAAGTAAATGACTAACGGTTAACAGTATGTACTGAATATTCTTAGGAAAAATGCATGTGCTTTCTAGTGATTAGCGGATACAGGAACAAACTGATGATACACTCTGTCAAGAAGCTTGCTCTATTCAGGGTCTACAATGTAATTACAAGGAAGACCATTTTCATACTATACCTGAGAAGGTAAAAGCTTTTCACATACTGCCATGTCTTTCATTTTTTCTACCAACTTCGGAGCTGAGTCTTCAAAGCATATACTGCTGTTATTGAAAAATAATAGACTAGTTTTAGGTGAAAGTAACTCAATCACAAATAAAATGACAGCCCCAAGAAAAAAAGCAGCATAAAAAATACACAGTTTTTAAAAGCAAAACCTGAAAAAGCATTAACAATCACGACTGATTTAAACCACAAACCTTTATGCTGGAAAGCTATTAAAACAATAACATTTTTCAATATACTACTCTATTTCTATGATATGATATCATGATATCTATGTATCTATATGATATATATTCTATTATATCCTTCAATTAAATAGGTTAAATACAGATGTTTATTTCAAGGCAGTGCATCTACTTCTAGCATTGTACATATCAGCTTGCTTTACAATCACACAAAGAACTTAAAAGAAGTGATAGTGGCACTACAGTCAAATAAACTGCTGGACACAAAAGGCTTGACCAAGGGTTCCCAAATCACAAATGAAACTTTATGCATGTTCATTTTCTTTCACTAAGCAAATTTTCCCTTCAGTTGAAATAAAGATTATGGAGAATTAAAAAGAAAAAAAAAAAAAAAAAAAAAAAAAAACAGAGAAGAAAGCAGGATGTGCAGCCCAGGACAGTACCGAAATTGAATTGCACTGAGTTCACAAGAGTGTCACAGTAGGAAAATGAGTGTTGAAAATGGCATGAAATAATGCTACTGAATGAGGTAGGTTATTCTGTTTACATCACAGTAAAAATGCTTCTGAAAGAACTACTCATGGCAAAATATAAATATATCAGAATGCTCTAAAATTATTATAAGCTAACCTGTAAGGACTCACATAAAATTGCACAAGTACAATAAATTTTGCTCTGAAGTCTAAGAAATAAAGGCTCAAATTAAATGGCTTTATACTGCAATAAAGATACTATGACAGATTTTATTTAGAACTAGATCACATGACCCTCTAAGATTAGTAAATACATTTTGTTATCACATTATCAGTGAACCTAACTTACTGCGAGTCAGACTGAGTTGGCACTCGAGAGGAATTACTATGTTCGCTAAATGTAGAATTGCCATTAGATTTTTCACTTTCCATCTGAAAAAAACACAAATAAACAAGAATGGTTAACAAAATCACGTAAAAAATCCCTAGCGCAAAAAGATGCTGTTCAAAGAGAGGGGAGGGAAGACTACAAGGTCCCAAATGGAAGCTGTTAACTCCACTTAACATGCAAAACCCTGCAGAAGAAAGGCATCTGCCTAACGTCTACCCAGAGGGGTGAAACACAGGGCCCTGAAACAGGGAGCATTTTCCCACTCGTACTGAGAGTATATAGACACAGTTGCAGAAGTAGACTCTGGGATCTATTAAGAATCAGGATAAGAGCAACAGTTATTAAAAGCAAATGTTTTCATTGTTTTCTGCATATGCAATGTTCTGTGTGGAAAACAAGATTCATGTAGGCTTTGGTATATGCAATCAGCAGAACTGGAAATATGAGTCTGTACAAAAAGACATTCAATCACTTCAGTGTGAATACCCTGCAAAACCTGGATTACTAAATCGAGGTCAACTAAAAAAATGAATCCTAAATACTTGGTAGAGGTTATTCTCCTTCCCCCCCCTCCCTATCATGTCATAAGAGCATAAATGTAACATTAAAAGCAACGCCTACAATTCTTACAGACCATAACCCGATAAAAAGTAAAAAAACTTGAGGGTTTGTTTCAGTGATAGCCAACAAACAAAACCCATTTTTTGGAATTCAGGAGTACTGGGCCTTTACTACTTTTTGCTAGTTATATTTTATTTGTTACACAGACATTGCTGGGAATTAATAAAAATTAAAACCAAACCAACCCACCCTAAATTTAGAATAATTGCTGCAGAGGTTCTGCTTGAGGTAGTAAATTTCAGACTTTGATGAAAATGCAAAGACCCATGACCTTGCAACACAGGAAAATATTAAGGAAGGATCCTAGAGCTATAAAAGGCTATTAATTACATATGATGTCTATAATTTTTTGCACGTATGGCAATACGATCGCCAACATGAAGACAACAGCTCTGCTCTCCAGAGGATGGTGTTAGCAATGTCTTCACTAGACTTGTCCTTGGAACACTACAGAAAGTAAGTCCTGTTGATTCTCCCTCCTGCTTTTGCCTTTCTCACATTTCACAATAGATTTCTGATCCAACAGTAGGCAGTAAGAGATTTATGTTCATAGCCAGTCAGCTCAACAACACTTCACACAGGAGACAACCAATATATTAGAGTAGTCAGGATCCAGAAATTTTTAATATACGTGCATCCTTGAATGACAACGTATCAGACCATACTCTGAAATGCACAGATATATCAACTATGAGGTTTTTTTAATCCAGCAATTGAATATAGAAACACAGCATAAATTTTACCAGCAGAATCCTGTAGGCCAATCAACCCACCAAAATATGTGGGGGGATTGTTTCCCCCTTAAGTGGAATCCATGGAATATGCTTTTAAATACAATGAGGAAATCTGTTCATAAAGACACAAGAATTAAACTTCCATCTTAAGGCTAAATATAGCACATACCATTAGAGCACCTTCGTTACTTAGCTTCTCAAATGCTTGTTTTGCAGCAGCTTGTTTTGCAGCAGCTGCAGAAGCTCCAGTGCCAATTCCATACAAAACACCACTAATTGTACAGCTACAAGAAAATCTGTAAAATGCAACCATGAATAAAGTCTTAGATCCGGTATGACAAGTCTTAATTTAATGATTTTAAACACTACAGTCATTTGACATTATAGAATGGAAATATGAGATATACATCTTCAGGACAGTATCTCCAATATACATTTAATCTAATTAATAATGGTAGATAACTAATTTGACATGCTTTCAAAATAACCAATTTTCAGAGAGTCAATATTTAGCACTTTTTAAGGTTGAACTCCTCAAAGCATCATATCATATGCACCCACAAGCACAAATTAGCTGTAGTTTAGTTTTTGAAGTGGCTGATTTTGCAGGAGGAGTTTTCCAGCAGATGTTGTCAAGAGAGTTAAAATATGTAGATACTCTTTATTATCCCTCAGATGTCATTAACTGGAGCATTTCTACAACTCACTGACTGCAATACATACAGAAGGGGACACAATCAGGCTTTCTTTGACACTTGGTTACTAGGGGTCTCCAAAATACATGCCTACATGGTCTACAAAGGTGCCAGAACTACAACCAAAATAACTGACAATTTGTCAACACTACCATTTTATTGTCATGCCATTTCTTCTCCCAGCTAAACAAACTCAGTCCTCTTAGCCTCTCCTCCTATGCCGTATCCTCCAACCCCTTAACGACCTTAATGGCGCTCTACTGGATTCTCTCCAGACTACCTCCAAATTTTTATTGTATTTCTAAAGATTCGTCTAACACTACTGAGGGTAACTAACGGTACTGTTAGTAAACACAAAGAAGTATTAAAAACAAGTATGAAGACAAAACGTATCTTACATGGGAGCATGGGCGGCTCCAGTACAGTTTCTGTTAGGATAATCAACTTTATGCGAGGTTCTTTGTGAATATATATTTAGTTGGCTGACATAGTCAGTGGTTGATACAGGTGATAAGGTCACTGGAGTTGTCATTAATTCAGCAGTTTGCATAGTTGAAGGACTCTGTGGCTACAAACCAAACAAAATAGATAACTTAAAAACCTGAACTTAATAAATAGATTAAAATAAACAGTGCACACAATCTAATACAGCTGCAAGGTTTGTCAGCTTTTCAAAATATTGTTAAGAAATCCCAAGTTTGCATTAGTGGAGTCCCTTGTGGCAAAGGGCAGCCATCCCAACCCAGTATTCTTACATTTTGAATTTCCAAAGGAATGTAAATCCAGTTTTCTGAGTATTGCACCAATGTCTTTAACAAGCTATCACCATGTCTCCTCCCACCTCTTTTAAGAAACGACAGGGAGGGAGCTCATTAAAAAAAAAAAAAAAAAAAAAAGCAAATGCTGCCTTCTGAATTTTCTCACACCTGGACCAGAGCCAAGAAAACGGATGGCAGCAGGATGCTGCTGATGTTGCCATTAGTAAGGGCTGCAAATGCTCCTGTGCATGTACAAGAGGGGGAAGCAGGACTGTTCAGCTCTCTCGTGATTAGGCAGCATTGATAATATATTAGCAAACATGCAGCAATTGTGTTAAAGTAATGATGGTGACACAGGAAAAAGCATATGGAAACAGGGAAGGAAAGGTTTCGCCCAAAAGATGCTAAGAAGTATTCAGAGTCAAAAAGAAAAATAAGAATGGCTACCACAAAACATGCAGCAGAAAATAAAGGAGCAAAATTCAAACCTAAACTAAATCAAGGAGGAATAAAGAGTATGCAGTCTGCTATACCATAAAGAATATAATTACAAGGAAACAAAAGTGAATCAGATCAGGTGAAAGTAAGCAATTTTATGAGCAGAGTGGCAACAGACACACTGAATAATGCCCGGCAATTGTTTTGAAGACATCAGATTACTAGTTGTCAAGATGAAAAAGGAACACTGTCCACTCTGGATATACCAAGGCAGCCTAACAAAGGCAAATACAGCAAAGGAGGAAACACTCTCAATATTACACACCAAACTTGTAGCAGAACAATAAGGAAAATTGCTCAGTGGTAAAAAGTAGAAAAGTACTAAATAAGTCAGAAAAAAGACAACTTAAATAAATATTTAGAAGCTCTTCCAAATTAAAGAAAGCAATGATATTTTATTGACTACTTTTAAAGATTCATCTTCAATGTTTACTAGCAAAAAAAAAAAACCCCAACAACCTACAGTTTACTCACCAGGTTCTTAATAATTTCCCAGGTTTGCTTTGCTGCTGCTGCTTTTGCTTCCTTTTTATTTTTACCAGTGCCTGTACCATATTCTACGTCGCCTATTTTAACCACAACTGTGAACCTGCAATGAAGGAAACTTTTCTATAACATTGTTACATTTTGTCTCATATATACTTAATAACCTTTTCAGATGCAACTTTATTTTTATTATCCAGTATTATTTAAATTTTTAAAAGCAAAAGAATGCATGAGGTCAACATTGTTACAGGCAAGGTTGTAAAAGCCCTAACACCAGGACACATCTCAGCACTGCAAAACTATATGGAGAGGAAAGATTAGCTAATTTTGATTTCACAGATCCAGGCATGACATTACACTCACCTTTGATATACTGCTACATATGCTATTTAGTAAATGCAAAAAAAACAGGTCTGGTGCTTCATCAGACATGAATTTAAAGGCAGGCCAAAAAAAAAAAAAAAAAAAAAACCGCGAAAAAAGCAGCCCTGCCCTTCCCCACTCAACCACTGATCCCTTCCCCCTCTGTTGCACAGCTTGTGCCCACGCTGCTTCCCATACTCAACTCCGTGAGTCAGAACAGCGAGCTGATGGAGCTCAGGGCTGACTGTACTGAGTCTGGCTGGGATGGACTCAACTTTCTTCATAGCAACTGGTATGATGTGGACTTGGGACTAAAATATAACACAGCAATGTTTTACCTATTGCTGAGCAGTGTTTGCGCAGCGTCAAAACCTTTTCTTCTTTTTCCCCACACTGACCCCCCAGCAAGCAGGCTGGGGTGTGTGAGAAGTTGGGAAGGGACACAACCAGGGCAGCTGGCCAGAGGGATATTCCATGCCATATGGCATCACGTTCAGCAATAAAAGTTGGGGGAAGAAGGAAGAAGAGGGCACACTTGGGGTTATAAAGTTTGTCTTCCCAAGTAACCATTACACATGACGAAGCCCTGCTTTCCTGGAAATGGGTAAACATCTGCCTGCCAATGGGAAGTAGCAAGCAAATTCCTTATTTTGCTTTGGTTGCACATACACCTTTGCTTCGCTTATTAAACTTTCCTTATCTCAATCCACAAGTTTTTCTCCCTTTCACCCTTCTCATTCTCTCCCCTGTCCCACTGGGGTGAGTGAGTGGCTGGCTGGGGGTCAAGCCACCACAGTGACCTAATAACGAATGGCTGGTTTTCAGCCAAATCAGTTCTTACCTGGACCTGACTGGTCCTGCACAAAAGTCAACAGCGCAGAAAATAACAACTAGATTTCTGCTTTTGGCAGCAGCACAGACTTGCATCAAGTTAAAGTGACCGTTACTATAACCTAGGGGTACATCTGTACTTCAGATTGCAGCAGAGCATATAGATACATAAGCTCCCAATCAAAAAGATAGATTCACACAAAGAAACAGTCTAGGTATAACACCATGAGTTTCTCTGTGGGACAATTTGTCTCAAATAGTGGAATGACTTCAGGAATTCACTTTTTTTCATTATTGCAACTTCAGTCTCCACTTCCTTTTAATGACACATTTGGGTGGAAAATAATGCTGATGCAGAACAGCGCTTGCAGTCATTGTGTAAGCAAAGCTTAACGAGAGATCTTAAGGAGGTAAACAGTAGGACAAGGCACACCACAGTGTGCCACATACTCTCCACATAGGTAACAGCATACCCAAAAAAGCATGAAAGAAAGATCTTTCTTTGGGAAAGGCTTTGTTACCCAACCCATATCTAAGCGCCGAATACTGCACACATTCAGCTATGGCTTTGTATCCAAAATTCACCATTTTATTTAAGCATCCTGAGGAAAACTGCAGTCTGAGTCTTAATGAACCATAAGTTAATTATCTGAGCTGAGAATTATCTGAATGTTACATGAGTTGGTCCCAAATGTACAGTTACACTTATCCACCATGGACCTCAAGTTAACAAGCACTGCCCAAAATTGACGGGTTTAGGCAGGACTGGTCTGACATTGCAGTGGAAGAAGCTACATCACTAAAACCAGGACAGGAGGGGAGGAGATGACAGGAGATGTCTCTGCATCATACCTCAGACAACTGTAGGAGGGCTTGTAGTGGGGCTATG